TCAGAGCGTTGCGCAGCTCAGTCTGCATCTAGCCGTGCTAGTGAGAGGTTCGTGCTGTGCTCCGTTCAGATACTGTGACGGTTTGAAATGTCTGCGTTAATTGAAAATCCCGCGAGCTGCGAGGTGCGCTCAGTAATAAGGTTTCTGACTGCAAAAAAACTGTAAACCGATAGAAATCTATCGGCAGCTTCGTGAAGTGTATGGGGACAACATTATCACTGAAGGTGGAGTGCGTCAGTGGGTCATAAGATTTCAAAATGGCCGAACCAATGTTCACGACGAAGATCGAAGTGGGAGACCCAGCATAGTGACCGCCGAACTTCTCGAAAAAGTCGATGCTAAAGTCCGTGAAAATCGAAAATTTCACAATAACGGAACTTTCTTTGAGTTTTCCACAAATTTCGCGAAGTTTGTTGCACGAAATCATCAGCGAAAAGCTTGGTTACCACAAGTTTTGTGCAAGATGGAAGGCAAGAAGAGGTAACGAAGTGGTTGAAGGCGCAGGCGGCCGAATTTTTCGACGAAGGAATTTCCAAGCTCGTACATCGCTACGATAAATGCCTTAATTTGTATGGTGACTATGTAGAAAAGTAGTATTTGAGTGTGGCTTTCATCTGTGTATAATAAAATTTGTTTCCTATACTTTGTTTATTTTTTTATTCCAAAACGTAATCTACTTTCTGGATAGCCCTCGTATAACGTTTACAAAGTTGGGATTATGAAAATTTAGTCAGCGACGTCGAAAACTATGCGTTTTAGATGAGGAGTAAGGGGCGACCTCCAGTATTCCTTTTGTAATATGAGATTAAAAACAACTGACATGTGTTGAATGGGTCGTAGCAGTGAATATACGATGTCTCAGCAAGATGACTTAGTTGAATCGGTAGCCAGGAAGGCCATCAGTCGTTTACAGGAGAGTCAAACACAATCCATTGTAGCGGAAGAGCAGGATTTTTCCAAAATGTCATTTCCAGATTATGGAATCGGATTTTGGAAGCTGGATATGTTTGAGAAATTCGGGACAAGGTTTATATCGTTTTAAAATAAAAAGCGGGAGATATACGTGCATTTCCTTTAAGCAAATAAATCTCTAATTTGGAGAAATAAAGTGGTCCGAAAGAACATTTTGGTTCATGTACTGCAAACATTTTATCAGACAAATCAAGAAAATAAATAATTAATTATATTACAATAGTTATTAATTTTAAATATATTTTCCAGAAATCAATCAAAATAAAAACTGAAATTTTCCAGAAAATCTTGTTTGGAGACCATTTGGCGCCCCTCTACGAGCGGCGCCCGGGACATCATGCCCCCCCTCGCTACGCCACTGCTGAATACCTACATGAATTTTTTAGGGGGGGGATTTTTAATTTCAATCAAATTTAGTATATTTCATATTACTGCTTTGCATTTTATATTTTTCAGACATTTTATTTAATTTATATTTGATCCATTTCACAATATATAGTAAAATATCAGTAGTGAGAAATAATTGCCAGTTGGAGAGTGGATCTGCTTTTTCCCAAAAATTTTGAGCTTTCTCTCATAAAACTGGCACTTTCATGAATATACTGTGTTTTCTTGTTCATGACAAAAGTTGAAATTTTAAAATAGACCACTGATACCAGTTTTTCCCTAGATATACACTCTGTCACAAAAAATATATGCACCCAGAAGGAAACTAACTACTATCACGAAACTTAACATGTATGTAGTGTATTAGGACATAAACAAATGATTACAAATTCAGAAAAAAGGATCATTTTATTAAGAAGTTATGGCATGAAAAAGATTAAAAATGAGTAAGTAGTAGTATAGCCATCTCTAGCAGCTATACAAGCTGAAACACGGTATGGCATCTAATCAAGTAGGTCACCTATTACCCCCTGCAGAAGATCATGCCATAATCTTTGCAACTGGGCAATTAATTCACCAGTATTCTGTGATGGCTGCAGTTGCCTTCCAAGCATGTCTCAAATGTGCTGTATTGGCAAGAGGTCTGGTAACCTCGCAGGCCACGGAGTATGTCATATCTTTGTGTAATGGGCACATGCTGCTGGTCTGGCTGCCTCCACACGCATGCGCGTTGTTCATCAGCACTGTGATTAATTTGGATTCATCACTGAAGAACACATGCCTCCAGTCGGTCACACTCCAGTTTGCCCGAGTTCGGCATAAATCCAGTCGGCACAGCCTATGATGTGGAATCAGTGGTAAGCGTCTTAATGGATGTCAGCAGCATATACCATTGTTGACCAGTCATCTCCAAATGGTTTCCCTTGATACCACCAGTTGCCTTTTGTGTTCTCTCCACAACAGTAGACTATCCCTTTCGTGATTCATTGTCGTCAACATGGAGCAACTACCATATTGCTCGACCGAGATGGCAGTTGTACGCCTGTTCGACCAACATGCTTTTGTGAGGCCCTTCTCAAAGTTCAACAACTGTTTGTACTGCCGCCGGTTATATCTCAGAGGCATCTCTAGTCACAATATCGTCCATTGTTGAATACCATTCGTTTGAATAGCCCTACAGCATAAGCAGTCACACTTTTAAACTCTCTCAGCTACGCACCCCATATGCGCATAGCGCGCTTACCCTTGTATCATTGCCGTCGAAATTTAAATCATTTACATCTCTCTTGCAAGACTACATTCCTGCCGAGTTTCATTACTGTGACTTGATTTCTTCTGAATGCATACTTTTGTGTGTGTGTGTGTGTCATCAGATTTTTTCTGACAAAGATTAATCCCTTTCATATTCAGAATTTATGAATATATCTTCTGAAATGCTATCAAAATCATTGATATTGTTATGAATTTTGTACATATGTAAATAATTTTAGTTAAATTATAGTATTTTTTGTATATTGTCACATGAAAATCTAAAAAGGCAAAGCTTTGCCGGAAAAGTAAGAACATAGGGCCAATTCCATTTAAAATTGAGTAAATGGCTATCTTGCTAAACTGGTGAGGTGTAAGCAAGCTGATGACGATTTTAGCTTCTAATTTTTGTTGCCAAATTTCACGAGAAATCGCCAAAAGTTGGCCAACTTGGCGACATTTTGGTCTGGTTCATGTATAATTGTAAATGGTGTTTGTTGTTGAATAATTATTATTAATCTAGATATGTAATTGTAATGGTATCGAGCCTCATATGCCTTCCAGTAGTTTCGAGAAGTGGGAGGTACTAGATGTTTCTCAGTTGCAGGTGGAAAACTATATAAGAGCAGAGAGAGCATAAGTTTTTGAGTTGTTTTAGTTCACCATTGAGAGATCTCCATGCAAGCTTCCCCTTTTAGATGCACTTTGCATTGCACTGTGTTTAACATTCTTAGTAGTTTCAAGTGTAACTACTGATTGTACTTTGTTATACTGAAAAGAACTGTAAGAGTATTTTTGTGCAAAGTTCCAGAACTGTAAAATGTTCCTTTTGTGCTAAAATAAATTTTATAAAGTTATCATTAGTTCTGTATGCATTCAATCTATTACAAATCCATTTGTACACAACAATGTAATTCTTCGCTTTATCGAGTCACTGCAAAATTCTTTCTTTGAAGTCTTTATCACCATAGCATACTTGCTTGGATATCACTGTAGATGTTTTAAAAGAAAAAAGCTACGTAAATAAACATGTTCATCTAGCAGACTGCATTTGATGATTTTTTTTAAATACAAAGAATGCAAAGGTGCTGCAATTAAGTTGGAAGAAAGGGAAGCAATAATATCAATGATTAGATAAAGTGATAACATTGAGGGGTAGTCAAAAATGTCACTAGCTTTTTCACCTTCTGGTGCAATCTCTCCTATTCCTAGGTTCTACCATGCAAGTCTTCTCTAAATTTTGCTGCCCACTGCAGCTGCAGTGGTTGCACCAGCTGTGATGCTGGCCCTGGGCTAGTTCATTTTGGAATATCCGGTATATATTTAAATGCAGTAATCTCGCATATGGCATATTTCCAGCTAAAGAGTTAAGGGAAAAAGTAAAATACCATTAATATCACTAATTTAAAAAATTAGTTTCCTTAATACTTAAATTTAAGATCTTTGTATTTTATTAGTATAGATCAGGGGTTCTCAACCAGTGGTACACAAGAGAAAAATAGGTGGTATGCAAAGAAGCAAAGTGTGTTTAACTATTAAATTCAAAAATTAAAACCCCAACGTTCTGATTGAGGTTTTTCTCTAACACTGATAAATTTATGTGATCTGAACTTTGTTCAAGATTGGTGGTGGTAGTAGTGCTTTGTAGTGGTGGTACTAAAGGTTTTCAATTTTTGTTTAGATGGTACACGTTAGTCAAAAGGTTGAAAATCACTGGTATAGATTTTTTTAAAAGAAAAACATTAAACATAATTCACATATGAAATATCTATGTATAATTTGTATCATTCAATAAAAATTTAATTTTATGAGTGTAAAATTTGTCACTAGTATTTGGATCTAACCCGGAAAAAATTTTTTTTATCTGAATGTAGAGTATTACATTTACTGTTCATATGCTATTACTGATGATTAAAGACAGATGAGCTTTGAAAATGTTAATTCAAAAATAAATTAATTGAATGGAGTTTATAGTAAAATATGAAATTATAATTTAAAAGGATCACTAAAAATTGCTTTTATTTTGATATTTTTGCCATTTTGCAATTAAGGTTATGAGATTAATTCATTATTTTCTGTTAACATTAATATTTTTATTTGTTTTTAGTATTGTTGTAAACTAATATATGTTTACTATAAACATTAGTCTGCATTTATTGTTAACAAACTATTTATTAAAAAAATTATTTGTTAATTCTTTGATGCATCAATAAAGAAAATTATAATCGAGATTGGAAATAATTATTCCTTAAATTATTTGTTATGTAATTCATGTTGTAAGTTTTAACTTTTAGATCATTTTTATAATTAGCACTACTAAAATTTCATTTTTTTGTACTTTATTTCTCATTGAAAATATTATTGAAATGATGTATATTTGCTTGTTTTTCCAGAGTTTGAATGGATGTTATCTGAAGTTGGTGTTTTAAAGACTGATCTGGAATGTAATCCTAGGAAAAAAGTTCAAGATGTGCTTTTGTCTTCCTTGAGAGGTTATTCAGATAATGATGATTGGTAGCACAAAAAGAAATGTTTTTAAATTATGTTTAAATTTTTAATAAAATTTATGTTGTTTCAACTTGTTCTTTTATTAATTAGAACACTTGCACTTTTTGCAAATCAAGGCTTAATAGTGGCCAAGTGGTTAAAGGCATAAAATATAAGTAGTCTTTCTATTTCTGTTTATTAAATAAAATGAATTGGCTGTATGAGTTTTAGGAGGCTTTTCACATTTGTAGGTTAAATACAAACCATTTTTGCAGGAAAATTCTATCTTTTCACTTAAGCAAGGTGGCCTTTACTGAATGCCTGATTATCTCGGGTTTCTATATATTGCAGTTAATTATTATCCTGTGAAAACTCGGGAGAAGCAGAATTTGTTAGTACGATTTGTTTTATCACAGTTTTACTGACCTGGAGGAAATTAAGGAAATATTCCGCTTTGATTGGCAGTTTGCCAAATTTTGTTGGTTGCATGGTTCTTTTGGAGGGACTGGTCACGTGTTTCCCTATTGTATAGTATACCTCGGCTTGTGGATTAGTAATGTATAAAGAATACATGTGTTGAAAAAAAAAATGAAATAATGGCAATGATGCAAGATAGCAAAAGTGATGATTTTTCAAATAGTGATTATAAAGAGGTAGGAAAAAATTGAAAAAAAAATCAAATCCAACAAGACAGTGTACTCTGTGCTCCCATGAAAGAGATTCCAGCAGTAAGTCAGTAAAAAAGAGACCAGATACCGGTGTAGAATGTCAGATATCACTTTGTGTTATCCTTTGTTACAAAAACTATCATACAAATACTAATATCTAACTTTTTTCGTTTGCCCGAGATAGCTCGGAATAGTAAACTAATATTAAAACTAAATGCTTTTGCACCTTCAAAAAATTAAAAATTCAACTTAAAACCTACATATTTTCATTTGTTTTGTTTCGTTGTATTTAATAATAAAATAAAAAAAATGTGATGTTTTTTGCAAGTTTTTTCAAAAAAAATTATAAGGGAAGCTTTTAATATCTTTTGTTGTAACAAATAATTCTATCTCACAAATCAAACTGATTGTCAGAAGTTAAGTACTGGTATCATAAAGTTAAACAAAACATTAACCAGTTGCTATTTTCTTTTAATACTTTCTATATTTTGAGGGAATCTTATACATATCTCATTTCAAAAAGCAAAGTTTTGTTTCCAATGACTGGATATTTGCTTTAGAAAAAATAATAATGCTGGAAAACGATAAAATATAATGAATATTAATAATAAAAACAAAATGTCCAGAAAATTTTAATTTGCCATTGCCACTACCTACACTACTGTCACATGATGACAAGGCTACATCTGTCAAAACCATCAAAAAGTAATGAATGAAAATGGTGTGAATTGCTCTCAGGCAGTCATGGAGGTCTAAATAAAGTGATACAGCTAATTAAATACATAAATAATAACTTTAATTAGTTGTAACAGCTTCAACACGGTGTTGAAGAAAGCTACCACGGTGTGTAGTAGTAGTAACCTCGAAAGTGGAAATCCCACATTGTTCGTATTCGAATGTTGCGTTTGGAAGTTCTGTAAGTAGCTGGTCGTGCTTCTATAGCCAACTTTCTACGACTGTGTGCAAATGTATTGAAATATTTAAGAATTCAAAAGGCTATAAACATTAATGACTGTAAACACCAATTCTATAATAACTAAGGCCTAATATCGCAATTCTGAGTTCTGTTCAAAGTTTGTATGTAAAAAAACAGCTTCAAATTTTATCTTCTGGCAGTTGTTAAAATATCATTGTAAATATCTGTAAAATTCTATTTTTAAGATTTATAAAATTCCAGTGTCTATAGATTCAAGATCATATAATTTGCAGAACAGCATTTGCAAACTGTTATTGTAATTCTGATACCCAGAGATAAATGCTTGATTGTAGTGCCTGTCCACCCTGATATGGGCTGTGGTTGGGCTAGTTAGTAGATAATTAATTCATCATTGGCTGGACATAATATGCCTTGAAGCAAAATAGCATGCCAGCTATCCAGTCAGTGGTTAAAAGGAAAGTCATTGAATAAAAGAGAAAGAAATAATGGAGAATTGCAATATGATTGTCACCAACCAAAATTTGTACAAAAGCAATGTACTTGGGTATAACTAGCCCTGGTCACCTATTGCTCAATTCCTTACATGTCCTATGTAGCCTTCCCATTTCCTGCTTTTTTTGCAAAAAATAGTATAAAACAATTGAAAACCAGTAGTTTTAACAGTGAGTAGTTCATAAGATCAGTTATCTGTCTTTCTTTAGTTATATTCAAATTTGTGTTTGTAGAGTTATGTTTTACTTTTTGTCTTTTAGGATCATTAAATGTTAAGGTTTGTCAAAGTAAAAATGAATAAGTTGTTAAAAGTAAATTTTTTGCTCAGAAATAAAACTACCGTGAATAATAACTAATGAATGAATTTGACATGTATACTAAGCATTTCTGTAAAACAAGATGAGCCAAGATGAAGGTATTACTTTGGGAAGAGATGAGCTGACTAGATTCTAAACAGAATAAAAAAGAATTCTATTGAAGACAACCCCAATCCTTTTTCTGTTCTATGTGTAAAAGTTTTGTCAAATGGATTGTATAAAACCTTCATTCCTGTTGCATTAAACATCCCAATTACAAATGAAAATTAAATAAACTTTTTTCTGAACTGTATAAAGGTCCTGATGTAAAATCTTATCTATTGCTAATTAACACATAATGAAAATACGATTGAAAGTGGAAAAACCATACATTTGCTAGAAGTCTGAAGCTGTTTAATGCATGTTTGGAGAAACATATGCGAAAAAATAACAGAATTCTCTTTTCAAACAATACAGTCTCTTAGAAAAGCAAGGATGCTTTGGATGAATTTTGAACCAGCAGTAACTGAAGAAAAAAAAATAGCCTTTTTTCTTCTTTTTCCTGTACATGTTGTTGACAGCACCAATGTATTGAAAATTTTGAGATTGGTTAATTTTTGTTATAAATTTATATATATGAAGTTCTATATTAATTCACTTTAAAATAACTACATGTTTACTTTTGCAAGAATGCTTAGGGTTCTAGTATAGTCCTACATCTCATCAATAATCAATAAATTTATTCATTTATTTTTTCATTACTGATATTCGAAATAATTATGCTACACTAACAATATTATGTTTTGGTTTACAATATGTGTTGTCACTATGTTTATTTGCTTATTATGTGATTTGCAAGCGAGAGATGATTGGGAATTGCTGATCTAGAACATTGCCCCAGGTGCAGTGCAGGGAGTAAACCAATATTGCATTCATAAGAATGGGACATGGACAACTACAAACATTCTTGGCTTCTCTGAGATTTCAGACAAGGACCATTGCTATGCCACCATGCACTGTTAATCACCATATTGAATAGGATGGTACAAAAAGTTTAAAGAATACAGCTGCAAATGGGAAATCAAAAACCAATGTATAAAAAGTATGCATTAATTAATATTTAATTATATAGATTAAAATTTGAAAATTATTAGAATTAAATAACGTGCTGCCATCAATTGAGCATAACATGAATTCAAATGCTGCACTGTTGTAGTTCTAGCATACAGACCTTCATAGTCTGAAATTATTGCCATTCTGGTGCAGTTTTCAGTTTGCCAGTGTCCAACAATAGAAATTCTGTTTAGTTCTTAGTTTTGTCCATGGCTCACCCCTATTGGGAATACACTAACCCTTTTGCCATCCACCAGACACTGTGATGTTGGCTGTTCTGAGAGACAGTACCTACTTTTCTAGCACTTAGAAAGAGATAATTAAGTTGACATATTTGCTAGAGGCCATGCATATAATAGTAACCTTCTACTCCGCACCCTTCAGCATTACCCTGTATGTTGGGGAGTTCGTGATTTGTAATTATTTGTGTGTGCTTCTAACAGTCACATCTCGTATTGCTATCAGCCATTGTGAAAATCTAGTTTCTGTTTTACTTATTTTAAGGTTTTACTAATACGTGGTTTTATTGTATTTTTAGTAAGTATACGCTTTCTTAAAGATGCTATTTGATATTCGTTTTTTCTCAATCGTATCAAATTGTAAAAGAAGAAAATTAAATAAGGAAAATAAAATAATTTAGGAATGTGTTATGAGTAGGAATTAGATTATATCTTTACTTCTGTGAAAGAGAAAATGGTATGTTTATCGTGCAATACAGGTTTGACTATTTTGAAAAAGGGAATGCAAATAAACACTATTTGACTCTTAAAGAATGGAAATATTTCAAATTAGAAGGTAAATCTCATCAAGCATCAACAGGTGTCTTTTAATGCTGTTGTTTAGAAAATAGCACATATACTTGGAAAAGGAGGCAGGCCATTTAGTGACATAGAAATATTTAAAGAATGTATTGTTGAAACACTAGGGATGTTAGATCCAGAAAAAAGTTGTAAATAACAATTGCCTCTTTAGGCAACACAAATTAGTTGAAAATGTAACAAAGCAACTTCGTATAATTATACAAAATGAAGATGTCTTTTTTTTAATTGCTTGTTTAGTTCAAAGCATTGATTAAATTGACTCGGCGCACGTTATTTTATTCATACTGCAACTGGAGATTTTCAGTGTTGCAAAGAATTTTTTTGTGATGGGTACACTAACTGGTGGAACTCGCTGAGTTGATATTTTGGAATATTTCAGAGAACTATGCCATCGATTTCAATTAAATGTGAGTAATCTAGTCAGCGTCTACACAGACGGTGGTGAAACACGATTCGTTGCTTTATTAAAAAAATTAAAACTTGAAAAAATTGATATAATTTCACCGAGTTATTCGAACAAATTACAAAAAGAGTTATTTGAGTTGCAGGAAGATAGTATCCTCATATCTCTTTCTGACACACTAAAAAGGATCCCATAGTAATCTAGAAAAATGCTGTTGAATATTCCATACCTATGACAGCATGCATGGCGTTTACTTTCCAGCTTTGCAAGTTGTTACTGCTGCGAGTCAACATTTTCTCTCATGACAAAAATTTTAACTAGTTTAAGAGTGCAAATTAAAGATGCTCATTTAGATGATCTA